AAATAAATATCTTTTAGTATCAAGTTAACAAAGATTAAAATATAGGAAAATTTTTGAATTAATCATGACTCTTTGTGTGTGTGAATGTGTGTGTATGCAAGATATAATAGAAATAAATAAATATAACATAGTATAGAAGTCCCACATCAACTAAATACTCTGAAGTAGCTTTAGGAGCCTATATATAAGAGGTAGTGGGTAGAGTTTGGAATAAGTACACAATTTTTACATAAATTTGAGGCAGTCTTACAAAAATGCCGGTTTTGAGTTTGTTAACTGTTGGATCAAACTAAAATTTGGTCAGCCTATTTGGGACATCCAAATCGTCAATTTTAATGGTTGGATCGCCAATCCAATCTTTCAGTTACAAGTTATTATGTACATTTTTAATTTATATTTTTTAGATTTGGCAGATAGAGTCCTGAATAATAAAGTATCATTTTTAAATCTGTTCACCCTTATCGAGCCATAATTTGAAGAATAAAATTATGGTAGATATTATACTCATCAGTCGTAAAAGAACAAACGCAGAGAAATATTTGGGAGATATTATACTCATCAGTCTTATATTTAGGACCGGAGGAGTATAATATTTTTAATGGTTAATTAATAGTTGACAAACTTATATATGAATCACATTTTATTTAGTATTTTGGTGGGCAAAAAGTATTTTATTTAATATTTTAATTATATAATAAAAGGGCATTTTAGGACAAAATGTGTTTATGACGCTCCATAGTGAGACATACATGTGTGTGTGTTAGACCATCAATATACACAGCAAGTGCATTATATTTAAAATTGCAGTGAGTATAAAAATTTCGTTGGTTCCTTTATAGATTGTACATTAACATGTGTAGCTTATCTTTATTAGATAGGCTGATATCTAAGAATAAATCTTTCACTGCAAAGAATAACCTCATTTTTCTTTTCCAAAAGGTATAATTAACACTATTAAATATCACTTTCCTATATGGTATTTTCTAATTCCATATATATGTGTTTTTCTAAGTTCAAGTAATGAACAATCTCTCATATTAGACACTTTTTTAATAAGTTTTATGAACTCAATCACAATTTTTAATTCTTATTTTTAATGCTTCATATTAAATGGGATCTTAGAGACCGAACATATAGGTTCAAGGAGATAGAAATTAATGAACTCATATTATTTGCAATCTCTCTATCCATTAATTAACGATTTTTTTTACCAGCACATTAATTAACGATTTACATTTCCAGCTGATTAGTTTTAACATGCTAGCCATGTTTTTATGTTCAAAACCATGTTTGAAGTCTTTACTGTTTCATTCATAAAACCTTCCTTAGAAAAATAAATTCAAGCTTCACTTACTCATTGTGGTTATGAAAATTGGTTTAAATATTATTTCAAATTCACCTCTAGCTACCTATGTTATATCTGACAATAACAACTTACTTTACTTAGTCTTCTACTTTCTTATCTTTCCCACTTTTGTTTGTATTTCTCTTTTACGATGGTATTTTTATTTCTCTTTAGACGTACCAATTGACTTGACTTTGCTCAATGAATTTCTCTTATCTAACTAATCAAATAAATTTACTCCCCCAACAACTTATCGCCTTGTCAGAAAAAATAAATATGACGAATTAAAATGGACTTTACCAGCGACTTATCAATAAAGTCCCGCAAGCTTTCATATAAACTGGGCACTTGCAACTGCAAACCAGTATAAGCATGAGATTCACCTAGTTTTGATTCTCAAACCTAGTCCTTGCGCATTGTTTTCTTCTCAAGAATAAAGGAAGTTTGTAATGAAAGAATTCCCAAAAGAGTCACTCATATATAAATAATGTAATTCTGTTTGGGCATCCAAAACTCATCTCTTTTGGACCATTCAGATCTGATATGAATATATGGTCTATATTTTATCTTTTTAATTAATTATTTTTTATATAAAGAAATTATTTTTCTTAAAAAAGTGATATTTAAGAGATTATTTTTATTTAGATTCTATATCATTAAAACAATTATTTAAAAAAATAATAAATAAATAAATTAAATTTGGACCATCCAAATCTTATCCAATCCATCCAAATAGGATGAGTACCTAAACTTGTTCCGCCACTTTTGCGTTTTTCATTTTAATTTATTGGTAATATGTCATTCTTAATTAATGCTTAGCATGTTAACCTAAAAGCTGTTTATGTTAAGTTGTCTTTGTAATCATTTTAAAGTACAGTGTCAACCATATGACTAGCATGTTACCCATATATATGTTATATAACTTGTTTTTCACTTCTAGTTTGTGCTTAACATGTTAAATCATTACAGCAAAATAGTTAATATTAATTTGATAGTTATTTTTGCGAAATCTAATTTTGGAGCAGCAAATTTTTTCCTTCATTTTCTAGCATTGTGAATACGATAAACAAGGTTTGTAGAACTCCTTAAGCAAAAAAACCAGAACGCCAAATGACTGAACTGAAGCAATGACATCGTTTTCAAAATCAAAGACCAATTCTTTTGGAAGAAAGAAGCATAAATTCCATCTAGTTTTGGAGAGATATTTTTTGGGTCAAACAAAATAAACAGCCCTTTCAATTTCTTCATGCGTTAGACCTGGCATGAGAAAATTGCCTTCATTTTCATCAATCTCAGGAACAAAATTTTTTCGTAGTTCTTGTAGTATGAGATGACCATTGTGAGAAGGGGAAAAGGTGAAAAACAGAACAAATGAGACCAAGTCATATTAAGAAGCTCTATCTGATCTTCTATCTAGTTCTCATTAGAATGCCTCAAGAATGTAATGAAATTATGAGCCTTCTTTTTTGGTTACCATAACATGAAAAAATTTTGTGATTCGTTCACCCGTTACCTTCCATTTAAGCTTTGCTCTTTATTGTCAATAACTACTTTTATAATCATATAAAAATTCTGGAAAGTGTATGACATTTTCTAACTAAGAATAGAGAGAATTACAGTGAGATTCCATGAAAGAAACATAACTACTAATAATTCCTAATAACAAGTTAGAAATTGTCATTTTCTACTTTAAAACTTATTATTACTGGCTACTTAGGTTATTATTAAAATTTTTTAGTAATTATATTTTTCCTCTAGGGCTTGATTACAATTCTCTCATGAGCAAAACTATAGTTAACGTTAAAGAACAAATTAAGTATAGAAATAAATTACGATTGGTAGTGCTAGCTAGGATAACCTTCATTGGTTTAGACCCTAGTTAGGCTTGACAAACGTGTAAGGCATTAACAAGATAGAGCCATGAGGTACCAGGGAATCCAAAATATAAGGTATTTGGAAAATCATTAATGCTTATTTGTTATAATTTTTTTATAATTAATGCTTCAATATAATTGTTTTTGTATTTTTATCTCTCTTTCACAATTTCATTTTATACGGGTAAAATTGAAAAAAAAAGGTCACTTTAAAACAGATTTAATAAGTTAACTTTTATATTTTTATACTAATAAATTAGTTAAAGTGATTTATACTGTGAATAGTAAACTAAATTATCTAGATGGAATATTTTCAGGTTTGCCGAGGGTCGGCGTCAGAAATTCTCAAATATTAATGACAATGATTTTTCTTTGGAAAATTGACACATATATCCCCAAAAAAAAAGAGCATAAATGACAGTAAAGACCATAAATTTGTGCAAGGAAATTTTAATCACAGGTGCTGAGAAAGAAAATAGTGGGTCCACCAGTTTTTATTTAGTGCTAATATAGGTCCAAATAAAATTTAATATTTACAAATTTGACTTACAGATACCAAGGAATTTGATATTTCTCACCCATTTATTTTTCATTTTTTGACCTTGACCTTTTAGACATTCCTTAAGAAGAAAATTACCTATAGGTCATAACTAAGAAAATGAATTTTTTTTTTCCTTTAAAGAAAAGGACCAAGATCCTTGGAATAATTCCAAAACTTGGAATTCCTTGTTTATAATGAATTTCATTTATGCGCACTATTGGTAATTTCACCTTAAATTATTTAGGGTGCATTGGCGGATTCGGTTAAATTGAGAACTAATCCAAACATTGGGTTTTGTCGTTTATTAGATAAATGTTGTTCAGTTCATGTTAGCATGACTCCGAACAGATTCGATTCACGATGGCCCGGGGGGGGGGGGGGGAGGAATTGATTCGATTCATGTTAATTAGGTGTTTTTGTGAGAAAAAAAAATTGTTGTTATTACAATTTCTAATATTTATATTTAAGCCTTTATCCACTTTTAGAGATAATTTTAATTTTAATTGTAGAAGAGCAAAATCTTATTTCCGTTCTCTCAAGTGACACGTTAAAAAAATAAGGCTCTAATGAATTTGATTTCGAGACTCAAAGTTAAATCTATCTATTGTATCTCTATTTGAAGTGACAGGAGTAAAAATGAAGTGATGATAAAGATTTGAGTTTGAAAACTTGTAACAACAATCATAATAATTAAAATCTAGGTTTATTTTTGAACTTTTTTTAGGCACACTAAACGCCCTAAAATGAGAAATGGCACAACGTTGCCTCTCATATATTTTTTTAAAAAAAAGTAATATTGTCCCAGCACTAAATGCCTGTTAATTTGACCATTAGTTTATTGAGAAAGTTATTTTTAAAAAAAGCCCATAAAATTGCAAATCAGTATATCCTGTAAGAAAGTTAATACAAATTAAGCCTCAAAATTACAAATAAATGCCAACAGACCAATGTGATTTCTTACCCATATTAACTAAAAAAAAAATTAAAACATCATTTTAACAACTTCTTTAACCAGCCATCAGGGTAATTATCAAATCATCATTGCGCGCAACAATATTAGTAAATAAATAAATAAAAGATATTATATTTCCTTCAATAATTTCTTATTAAAACATCAATACTTTAATTTAGCTAGCAAGAGTCTAATTTGATCACTAGAGAAAAGGTCCAAGATAGTCGTTGAAGCCAAAATGACGGTGGAAGACGTGTTCACTGACTAAGGAATGCAATTTTGAAGGTGTTTACATGGAATTGATACGATTTATAAACCATAATGAATAACATGGTTCCATGTACATTTTATACTTTATATGGAATAGAACTGACTTGATATCGATTGGGGGGGGGGGGGATTGACTTGATATTGATGATTATATCTATTCTATCTAGAACCCCAGCTCAGATTCAAAACTAGATTACACGACTCTTGACAAAAAATATATCAGATTATGTGGAAGATGGAGTGAATAAATAGGCAAATCGGAGGAATATATTAAGAACAGTAATGCATCTAAATAGAACAAGCAAGGGAGGGGGAGGAACTAAACTACCTACACATGAAGGAAACCTGAGAAATGCGAAAAGGTTAGAAGGGGCTGATCTTGCTGGCTAGCTTTATTAACACCTCAGGGACAAGGCGTCTTCTTGGTGGAGCTGTCGCATCCTTTGCAAGAGCTTCATCGTCACCAGCATGTATGATATAAACCATGTGTTCAAATAGGTCGTCTTTACCACCTCGCAATGGATCCTGTTCATGATCAAGAAGCGAGACATTGTTGGAAAAAGCAGAGTTAAACAGAGTTACTCCATGTACAAGCATGAAGTTAGTTAGGTTAGTTTCGGATGCTGGCAAAATTCAGAATACATAAGCAATATAGTTGGTTACAAGCTATATATACTCCCATGTACTCATGGAAGTGCAATACAACATGATTGATTCTTTCCATTATACATCTCTGTATCAGTATAATCCAAGTTTGAGAAGGTAAAAGAGAGACATACACAGGGATTCTTTAATGTTTATGTGTTTATTTGCTTCGTTGAATATAGAGATTTAGCAGGCTATATGCAACACGAGTGGAAGAAAACACTTGCATCAGTCCAATAAATGGTTCTAAATAAAATAAAAGGTCGATACAATCTTTAGTTCTTGAAATTTAACTTTGTTCTGGTTTTTGTTCCTAAAATTCGAAACCATATTTAACTTATACGGACTAATTTTTATAGACAGAGAAAATTTTAATGATAAAAAACACTAGTTTTAAATTTCAGAGGTTAAAGATTGTATTGACCTAAAATAAAAGACTAGACTGATCTTTAAAATTAACTAACGCTCATTCCTTCACTAGGAGATAATTGTGATATTCACAAAAGCATGATTTTGCTCTAATCTCAAGTGCTAAAACAATGCTATGAAATCTTTCAAAGATCATATACTCTAAGCATGTCTCGAAAATTCAAGCCAAATATTCCAACTCATTGCATTATCAAGGTTAGGCATTGAAATTAATGCGGCCTGTATCAGGACAAAAGGAGCTCAGTTCCAAGTTTACCAGCCAATTCAATATAGTTTTTCACAATTGGTGACACTAGTATTTCCTAAATGTTGGAGATTGCAATATACAACATTTTTAAGCCAGTATATTCAGTCTACAAATAGTAAAATTATAAGCTGAAAAAAAATGACACTACTCAGCACTTACTTGGACAAACAAATCTGTATGTGTTTTTCCATCATATAGAACTAGCTCAGTTCTTGCACCCACCTTCGTTAGAGCATCGGCAAACTTTTTACTGAAAAGTGTAAACAATGTACTTGTCAAAATCTGAAAGCGATAAATAAAGCCACCAACAGTTGTATGAGAAAATAAATAAATAAAGCCACGGACAGTTTGACGAAAATAAGTAATAGTTTAGCAAGATTAAATATAGAATTTAAGCTTCCATATAAAGAATACAACATTTAGTGTTTTGACCAGAGGCATATCAGATATAATAGAAAGTGGGGGAAAAAAAAGCAACCGGAAGCGCCACTGAAGTTACTTACTGTAATGATATTAAGAGTTAGTGAGGCTTTATAATAGCACAAATAGATATATTGTAAGAATATCCTCAAGATACTTCAAAATTTTCCTTCAACAAAGCCATAATATAATAAATGCTTTAAACACAGAATTTCTAAGGCTACATATTAACCTGGATTCTGATGGTATGGAACGATCATCACTTCCATGAAACAGAATAATAGGAGGCAAGAGAAGAGTGGCATCTTTAAAGCTCGAGTCCAGAACTTTGACTTCTGGGGAAAACTTTCTCAACGATTGTTCACCTTCCATAATGCTGCAATGAAACTCAGTCTTGTAAGGAATCAACACCAACATTTTTTTTTTTTTTAAATTTTCAGGCTTTTTATGGGGTGGAGAGGGTAGGGTAAGCATGAGGGGGCAAAACCAGGTAACTACAATTAAAAATTTTTAGGGAAGAAACCTTAAAAAAGTGGAACGATATAAGCCACGTTGATGAAAGTGATCTACTAAATCCAATAAGTTGTACCTGCAAACATATAATAAGGTTAATAGAGGTGCACTTGATCATGTATAAACTAATTGATCAATGAGCACAAGCAGAGCATATTTATTTATTGCCATGCTTTCTCCACACCAGCAAACATGCAACCACATTCTTGCTACAAAGTTGGAAACTATGGATACATATATAGTAGCCTTGAAGCTCTGGCCAAAATTATTCTTCTTTGAAACAGAAGAATTGGACTTCAGACCATGGAAAGGCTCCTGTCATAGGTTTTGATTCCGTAGAAGAAGACGATGACAGAAATGTGCTGCGGTGGGTGAAAACTCCAGCATGTACTCACTAACACTAAGATTGATTTTCCCAAAGTAGCAGAAGAGGATCCGAGGGGGTGGATTCTCAAGGCAGCGAAATATTTTAAGTACTACGAAACTCCAGATGATTTAAAGGTTGATGTGCAATCAATGCATCATGAAGGAGATGCGTTAGATCTCTTTGCATGGCTAGTTGCTGGTCGTATAGTTTTGTACTGGGAGGAGTTGTTTCAAGCACTAACAAACCTTTATGGCCCAATGGAATATCAAAATCCTGATGAGTTCTTAGTGGTATAAAGCAAACTGGTACTTCGCCAGAATGCTGTCAGAAATTTGTAAAAAAGTTAAAGTGCAAATTTGTCCTAGAATTTTCTTCTCAGGAGCGTTGAGTACCAGAAACATTTTTTTAGGTGCAAATTTTCCCCAAAAGTTTAAATTAGTTGCAGTTTTGCCCCTACTGTTAAAAAAACTAATGTTGACTGTTAAAATAGTAATATTAACTGTTAACATTTTTTCTTTAATGGTAGGGGGCAAAATGGCTACGAATTTAAACTTCCAAAACAAATTTGCACTTAAAAGAACTTCTTGGCACCCAGCGCTCCTGAGCGAAAACTTCCAAGCTAAATTTGCATCTTAACCCTTTGTAAAAAGATCTGCTAGAGTTAAAAACTGGACAGAGCATGTTTATTAGGAGTTTTCCCTAGTAGATTGAAGAAGGAACAGAAGTCTGATGTTGGAATTTGAAAGCCACGTATCATTTATAAAGAAATGATTATGGCTTTAGAATTTGAGGTCATAGCCCAGAATGCGCGTCCACCTAAAGTCCCATTTCTCTATTGTCATATGTTTGGGTATGTAACCTGTGGTTTACTTAAATCAGGGAATTAGTATGATGACATTATCACTTAGAAAACATTGCCAGCCTGAAAATATGCAATGATGAGCAAAGTACCTTAGCAAGTAACATAACAGTAATCTCCACTAAACTACAGCCATTTAAGGTACACTGCAGACATGCTATAACCACTAATTATAATCACTTGAGCTCAGAAGGCAATTAGAGGATCCAATCAGCCATCATAAGATGTTATCTTTATTTTCAACCATTAAAACTCATAGGCTTTCCTTGGGATTTTTTCATCCACTTTCATAATTTAATGCCTGTGTCCTCAGAGGAAAATGAGTAACATAACATTTAACGGACAGTTTAACAATTGGCAACAGGATAAACCACAAGGCAATAACCCTCTTAAGCTCCAATCTTATAATACTGTCACAGACAAAATCTGCCAATAAAACAATGATTTTGCCAAAGACATATTAATTGACATGAGGTTACCAACATGGAACTCCATAATAGACAATCAAGATTAGTGACGATCATATTCTCATAAAGCAACAATGTTTTACCCTCCAGATAATCCAAAATAAGCTTTTATCTGGGAGATGCTCCAAGAAACACTTTCTCCATTTCCAGATTCTCTGATTGCTTGGTCCAATAAAGCACAAGCAGAAATATGAGCACCAGCAGACTGCCCCATTAAATAAATCCTATAACAAATTTATCAATTAAAAAAAAAAATCAATCTTTTAGTTGAATGTGAAGCGAGGAAGTGGAATAACATATAACAGCATGTCACCTATTAGGGTCACCTCCATAATCAGCTACATTGTCCACAATGAAAGAAATTCCTTGCGAAACATCTTTGACCATATCACTGATGGTTCCCTGGGGAAAATTTCTGCATTCTCAGATTATTAGTCTCTTAGGCACCAAATATTGCAGACTTGATAAATTAAATCTCATAACTTTGCTCATTATCACCCCTTAAGCCATAGTAATACCTAAGGAAAGCTCCCTTACCCTGGAGACAACCTTATTATATTATAAACTATATTTAATTGTTTAAAATATCAATTATGTATATAATTATCATAAAAATAATGTTACACTTTTCATTTTTGAATCAAGATTAAATATATAATTCCAGTACAAATTGAATATCTGCCCCATGTAACAGCAACGATAGATCTAATATCTTGCAAAATTTAAGGTAGTCTTTTAGACATTACTTTCAGTAAGTAAAATGGAGTTTATTAAGGTTTAAACTAAACAATTGTATAAACACATCATGAGGCAAACATCCCTGTAGTTATGATTAGTCCAGAGAGCTAGATTTAAATGTCCTAAAAATAGACTGCATGGTACACAAACATTTTTTTCATTAGAACATCACGTGAAGTCTATCTATAGGTAAATGAAATGTCAATCTTACATTTCTTGAATAGAATTGAGACCACGTACCTGTAATCAATGCTTGCCACTATAATGTCTCTTTCTGCCAACTGCAGTCCCAAAAAGGAACCCCAGGCTTTATACCTAAATCATAATGAAAAACGGAAAAACTTAACTTCTAACGTTGCCATGCTTCACACTAATTATTTTCTGCATACGAATGTGATGACCAATTCAAATTTAAAGCTTCGTAAACAAGCCCTACAATTTAGCGTCTGTTTTTAAAATTTAATTTCAAAACTACTGGTTATGATCTATGATTAAAGCAGCAATAAAAAGTGGCAGGTTAAATTAAGCTTCCTCGTATTTACAAAAGTTCATATTACATTTCCACTCATGCTCATGCTCAATGCAAATATTCAGATATAATCAGTTGAAGCACAAGCAACACTGTTTGCCATATCAAAAGTTACACTTCCAAGTGAGAAGATCTGACCATGGTCCAGATTTCCAGTTTAGTTTTGGGTAGAAATCTTTTGGTTTTCAAGCTCAGGAACTTTGAATGTTGACAAAAAGCCAGGGCTACCACCCCGCCGATCTCCAACCATTAGGAAGCCCTTCCATTATTAATCTTTAACGGGGAATTTATCATAGAACAGACATTTAATGATGTGAAAAGAGGGAGGCAAAAGGGCAGGAGAGGGGGAGAATGAGGGGGAGATAGAAATAATCATGTCTATCTCAAATCACTCACCCAATAATCCATGCTCCACCAGTTACAAATATCAAAACTGGTTTAGGTTCACAAATATTAGCAGGTAAATACAGATCCATCCTGCAAAACCACCATTTGAAACCAGAATACTAGTCATTCAATAAACAACATGATTAACATCACAGGATATAGAGAAAATATCTTGAAAAATATAATAAATGTTTAACTAAATTTACCTATTTCTCGGCATATTTCCATAAATAACACTTCGCTTTACTCGCTTTGAGAAAAAATAGTGATATGCAACTGCAGGGATTTTTTTTTTTTTTTTGGGGACAAAAAAGGAAGTAAGTATTACATTCTACTAATGTACAAATATCACCACTTACAAGTTTCAACCATACGTGAGACACTTTCTAACATGGTGAATTACCACCCCTTTCCAAGAAGGAGAAATCATAGATTGCAGTATAGAAGGAGAACCACATGTCAGGATGGCCAACACAAGAATCAATACAAAATAAAGTAAAATATCACTGACTATTTTAAGTGAATCAGGAGATAATAAAAATGAAGTTTTAAAACCCAACGAAACTGAAGATGCTACACCATTTAGATAAAGGCATACATAGATAGTTGTTACTCTCATTAAAATAAGAAGGAATAAGTTTAGTAAAAAAGTGCCAAAGAAGCAAGGTTTAGAAACAAAGAAACCAGCATTATGGTTTAAAGCTTATGCTGGCCAAATAAAGGCAATTGAGAAATTTTGTTTTGAAAGTATCATGATTGAACTTCTTGGTTTACAAAATGGCTCTAAGATAACATGCCTGTTGGACTACCAAATATATCAATCTAGCAAGGGACTCCCATGAGGCTGCAGGAAATCCTGATGCCAAACAAATAGCAAGAGAAATTTTCCATAAAAGTTGCGTTAATATTGCATGATAGATTATTCCTAAGGCAGCAAAACTGAATGTTAGACCAGAAAATGAATTCATCTGACTGAGGACTCCCTTAAAAACCCTATGCCTACCAAAACACCCGTCCACCTATTCATATCACAGACTTTTCACAAAAAGATCTTTTACTAATTACTACACAATATTTTAACCTGATCCTTCAATCAGATTACCCAATGTAAACCTTTATCTGGGCTCATCTTCTAACAATCAATATCATGACTGGGCATGTCTCATGTCTGGTTATGGACATGACTTAGAACTTGCTATCATGAACACTGAAGAAAATAGGAATCAATGACAACTGAAAATCATGGAAAGAAATAAAACTTACAAATTAACTAAAATTAAACAAAGAATGAACCCATGAACAATATTTTGAAAATACGAAGGAAATTCTGTTCCTATTGCAGCATTAAGCAGCACTGAGCCACTGACTCTTTTCAGCAGAAAACTCAAGAGGTTCTGCTACATAATTTTATTCCTTTTTCATATCCTTTGCAAATATGTGTGAAATGCTTGAAAAAGATTATATGAAGCACAAAAACATCAATAAAGGAGTCATCCTTAAAAAGGGTCAAAGCACAAGTGCACAATGAAACACTTCAAATAACAATTGGACAGATTAAATTTGGTGAAGGCACCGTACCTCTGTCCAAGCTTCTAAGTACTCAGATGTTCATGAAAAATTAAGGGTCTATTCTTCACTTTTCAAAATTCAAAATTTCTAAAAGGGATCTGTTCAATATGAACAGTGAATTCATTGTTATTGATAGCGCATAGGAAACTTGGATATGCTCTTTATGAACAGTGAATTCATTTTTATTGATAGCGCATAGAAAACTTGTAGCACCAAAGGCTCCAAGCTATAGTGCATGTATAACATAATGTTGCCCAAGCTACATGAAAATCTAGTGTACAATAAATTTTTTCAGCGTAACTTTCATCATAAGATATCATTTCATCTTCATCAAATACAATATCATCATAATGCTCATCGTTAAGTTATCCCTCACTTTCCTATTCAAACTTTCAGGTTTCTCTTTGTCCACCAATCACACAAGAGCATTGAGGAGAGGAAACCATGGTTCTTGTCTCCTTGAAACTCAAGGAAGGACACAGAGGTACAAGCCTATAACAGATCGTGTTCAAGGAAGGTTGTCTAAATCATTACTTATTGGTTGTGCAAGAATCAATCAAGTGAATCTCTTGCAGTAGTCTTACAAAATCACTCGGATTACAGCTGTTGTTGCCTTTATATGTAGTGCCTGTAACACAAACTAAAACTACGAAAAACATTCCTGGAGTGTGGCTATGATGAGACCCATACGTAAGTTGCAAAGCTTCACATAGAGATGGGGCCAAGAGCTGTAGTATTGAGCTATCAGCTGTAGCACGAACTATAACACATTACCTACAACTGTGTGCATTCACATCAACTTGATAAAGGAAGCAGATTTTGACATCACTTATCAATCATGGGGACAAGAAGGAAGATTATACAACTTATCTACTATGAGCAGTGAACACAGTTCCACATTCTAATTTTAATTTGAGGACCCAGCCTAGCATTTCATATTCATTCAAATCTACTAGACTTGACAGAAATGGTAACAAAGAAACAAAAAAACACAAATAACACAACACGTACCTTGTAGAAAACCCGGCATCAGTAGCAAGGCATAACATCCAAGGGCAAGTAACTGTGTAATCCAGCTGTAACCTACCCTACATAAAGTATCGATGGTAAATTTGATGAACGCTAGTTGCAAACATGGATGAAATCAATGTCCTAACAGAAGGATCCTAATTGCTTTAGTTTAATAGAAATTTTGCTGTAAAGGAGCTTATGACAATTAGCATGCTAAAATAAAATTCTAATCCAGTAAAGTGCGGAATGCAGTCTGGGAGGAACATGAAACACAAAATCATCGCAGACTACCTAAACAAACAAAAGATTGTTGGAAATTCAACAGTTTGTGTTAGGGGAAAAAATTACAACCATTGGGGTGACGATTCATAAACGCATTAAAACTTAATTTTACTCATCAACCTATTCCACTTACACTCTGCGGAGTTACAGCTCTCTTGTGTTTAACTAACTCTAACTTCATCAAAATCTATCATCGTAGGAGAACTCTGTCTCGACTCCCAAAACCATAGTTGACGTGAACAAATCACGTAGCTCTGATGACGTTAGTTCTGAATTCACTGCTTAAAAAAGGGGAGAGAAAGAAAAGAAAAGAAGAAGAAGCTCAGATTTTCTTCTGCTGCGTGGAATTCAAAGTACGAGAGGAAGGGCCCGCATCACACCAAACGATTATTTATGCTTCATGAAAAATCTCTTTTTTTTAAACCTGATTTCTCATATTTACATAAATAACCATCCTTTACTGCGTTAGCGAACTGTCAACACATACTTCTGTTTCCCCCCCCCCCCCCAAGCACAACGTAAATTTATATAATTCGCAGCTTCAAGCGATGTAGATTCTACTTCCAGCAAGTAATCAATAAAATCAAGTACCCCAAATATTGCAAAAGCGTGAAAGCCAGCCTAGAAATCAAATACGTCTCAGCAGCAAAGTGATTAATGTTTTCTTTGCACGACCGTTGCCGAGTAAGCCGACGCCGAGGCCGGGGGCCATTTTTGCCGGGGACTATCGCGTGCCTCTCACACAAGCTATCGCGGCCACTTTCTCGAATGAGCTCTCCAGAATCAACACCGAACATAGCTCCGCCACCGCCAACCACGGAAACCACTCGGCGGTGGTCATTTATAGTCGTCGTCGACGGGGCCATGCCGGACGAGCCGGCAGCTAAACGGCAGGAATATTGATTGGGATCTGGGAGATGATAAGAAGGCCTCGGTTTGAGTGCCTCTAATGGAGAGGGAATGTGGGATGCACTAGGAGCCTATAGTGGATTGCTTTCGTTGTTAAAAAATGCATTAAAACAGCGGCACTACAATACACAGAGAGAGAAAGAGACTCTTCGGAAGCTCAGAGAAAGTAAAAATGGAGTTTGGATCCAAGACGGCATTGGTGACAACAATGAGAGGTGGCCATTTGCCATGGCAGTTACTTAGGATTCGATTCCTTGTCCCCGTGTAACGAACCTAAGCAGTGACACGAATTTATCGTCGTCCTCTATTGTAGATTCTTTTTATACTTCTTTGTCCATTGTCAAATTACTTTTTCCTCAACGATTCTACGGGCAGATTCTATAGGGCGTCATATCATGTATCAGTAAAAATAGTTGAAATTATTAAATTTATTATAAAATTTAAGTGAAATTTTATATTATTCGTATCAACATCATATTAATTTTTACTTTCTATCATTATTTATATTAAATACTATAAACATATAAAAAAAAGTTTAATACTCCTTCAATCTTAAATATAAGATTTTGTGTTATAAGTTATATTATAAAATGAATTTTATATTTAGAGACAGAGGAATACTTTTTTTTTTTAAACTACTAAATGCTTTGTAGTTTGAGTGTATTAGCAGCAATATCAAATATAACATCCGCGTCAGACTTTGTTGTTTGGCCACTATACGTCAGATCTTATACGTTAGTCATTTTTTAAACAATTTAATGACTTTTGCATATCAGCGACTTCATTAAAAGGGAAGCTTTAATTAACTTTTTTAAAAAAAAAAAACACTCTTATTTACAACTTGTTAGGACTTTTCCTTCAAAATGCATGCTTTCAAATAAAATTCACACTTGAAAAATCATTTTATCGTAAGACCATTTTGTTAATTTAACTAACACTTTATTAGCTCTAATGAGGTAATTTATTCAAGGTTAAAAAAAAAGAAGAAGAGGTAATTAATTAAACTTTAAAGTCCCTAGAAGAAAATATTGCAAATTACATATTTCAAACGGCTACCTTGCCCCGGAAAAAGTGAGACCATAAAGGCCATATCTAATTGGGAGTTTATATATATATATATATTGCCAACATAATATATAATATAATTAGACCATAATAGGATAAGAATTGTCCCTCCGATAGTAATGACGTTCACGCTTGTATCACCCGCGATTAAGCAATCACTTTTCCAAACAATTTTTTTGTTAAACTGATCTTTGTATATAAAAATCCATCCAACAAATAATATTACACTAATTGACTTTAATCTTCACAAAAAAGTTGAAGTAAAAATTACTTTTAGCAATGTTCATCTAAATAAACCAACAAAAATGTGTTAATATTGCCTTTACTTATTGAAATTTGGCTTCTTCTTAGTTTTGTCCCTGAAATTTAAAATCAGCATTTTTGTCCAAAAACTTTTTTTTGTCAAGTGTAAAGTATCATTGTCTATAGTAAAAGCTAATCTCTTCACATTGTATACTTTCCAAAAAAGATTTAGTGGTGGTCACAAAAAGCACCAAAGTCTTTTGATGGATCAAAATGAAATCAAATTTCAGAAATTAAAATTATTGATTTCAAATTTTGCAAACCAAAACCAAAACAAAATTAAATTTCATAAACTAAAATGGTACTCTTCCGATCTTTAGTATAATACTTAATTTGAGAGTTAATATTAATCTTATACATAAACTTACTTTACATTTTTTTCAATTTTTTTTCAAATTAATCATATTAATATTTCTCCAATAATAATCAAGGAGAAGAAAAATAGAGGAAATTAAAAAGATACTTAGAGTGCTTTAAAAAAAATCATATCATGTGAAATAATTTATCTAACATTCTTAATTTACTTAAATTAATTAATTAAGTTTTATGTTAAAAATTGAAGGAGTACTAACCATCAAAATAATTAAACAAAGAGCACAGTAGGATAAGAATTGTGCATGTGAACGCAGTGACGAAAAGGCATGGATCCAGTGATCCACCGCTACTCGTTGCTTGTCCTGTGAAGGCTTTAACGCTTCCCGTGCACGCTCGAATGACTGACTTTTTTATTTCATTCAATTATTTGCACCTTGACGGGGAAAGAGTGAGAAAATTGTGTTTGAAAACTAAATTCACGAATTGCTTTGTAATTTAAGAATAAAAGAATAACCAATAGTAAATACTCATCAATAAGTACTCGTTGTTTGAGTGACTAATAGTACAACACAAATGAGGGATAAATTTAAAAACATTTTTAATAATTAATTTATGAGTTTAATTTTTCACTGTAATTCCCAAACCATACCGGTCTTGTTTACAATTGTTGTTAGGATGAAGAATTTCAATTGAACCAGCCCGTAAGGCATCACTAACTTGAATCTTTATTTTTCTTCCAAAAACTAAATTATTATTCCTCTTGTCCTCAATATAAGACTCTTTTTGTACTACAAAAGGAATCTTATATTTAGGACCGGAGGAATATATGTATATTATAGCAAAGGAATAAAAATAAATTAAATGTGTAAATTTCTTCAAAAATTTTCACTCAAGAATAATATTACCTCAAATTTCAAAATGTGGTAATAACGTTTTGTTCTATTAAAAAATTAACATTAACTGTTAAAATTTTGAAGTTAACTGTTAATAATTTTAACGGCAAAAAAATAATATTGCTTCATTTTAAATATTTTCAAGGTAATATTGAACTTAAAAAAAAAAGCCCCTTTCCAAACAACATCACTGAATAAAATAAATTTACAAGTTAATCCTAAAAATAAAAAAAAACAAATATAAACTGAGAAAATTATTTTCACGCGCGCACACAACTTCTTAGCGTCACGCCTTTTTACACTTATATTTTTACTGAAGATCTTAAGCCCATTCGCTCAAGAATTGGTGGTAATAATAACTTTGTACACAATAAAACACCTTTGATTACGTTAAACTAAGCTGGATGCTGCAGGTTAATTTCTTTGTGATATATTAAATCAATTTTTGTTATTACGGTCAGAATATGATAATTTATGCAGCATTATTAATAGCTCTTTTCATTTCTTTTTTTTATATCATACATTTAAGTGAAATAAATTGAAAAGCAATATAAGGAGTAAACTATCCCACACCCACACACAAAAGAAAAAAAGCACTTTAGAAATCTCTTTTAATACAAATATTCATCATTATCATGTTATTATTCATATCTAAATCTATAGTCACAAATTTAATCACGGGTTTATTGTATAAATTTCAACGGGCAAACTATTAAAAATTGTTGTCAGAAGGAATCAGTCTAATTAAATAAACAGTAGAAGAAGCAATTAATGTCATTGCCCACAAATTCTCGTATATAATGTAGACCAAGTACCAAAAACAGGACCAATGAATAAACGTAGTGATTAAAGTCAATAGTTCAAATTAAAGTAACTCGAAATCAAACCAATCATAATTAAAATACTCCTTCCAACTCAAAATATAAGATAAACTTCATCTATTTATATTTATCAAGGAATCAATAAATCAGTTTAAATCAGTTTAAAATAATAAATATGTAAAACATATATTTTTCCCCCTAAACATACCTTTATTAATGAAGAGAATAAGTAAAAAATACAATAAATAAATCAAAGAGGAAAGAGAATATGCATTAAAAGTAAAATTTAAAAAAAAAACTTATTAAATACTTAGACAAAAGTAAATATTATCTTATTAAAAAAAATCAAACCCTTCAATCAAAGTTTATCTTATATTTTGAACAAGAATGAGTAATATTTAGATTAAAAAAAGACATCAATCTAAAATAAATAAAATATTCATGTATTAAATATAGATCCAAAAAATATAATTATTAGACCATAAATGTAATGAATTACTATTTTTCCCCTTTAATTTTTCAACTCAAAACGATATTCTGGGTTCAATAAAACAAAAGTATTAAAAAAAAATCCAACCCAATCAACCCGTTCAGAACTCTTCATCAGATCATTAAGAGACTAGTTCACCAATTCATTCCCGAGTCAGGTATTGAAAACACGACGGAGACAAATTAATCACTTGAGCAAAATTTATCTATAAAATAAATCAATGTCGCAAGACACAGTGACTTCATAATTTGATGCTTCTCTCCATTTCAACCATACATCTCAAAGTAACTTAAATTACTTTCATAGAAATATAAATTACTCACTCTCCTATTACTTCCTAATTCTCAACAAAACTTTGCGAGACCACTCAATTACACACTCACCAGCCATAATGATGAATTGGGTGGGCTTTAAGATATTTGATGGGAACCTGAGAATATTAGGACGCTAAGATCACTGCAACAAAAATATTAACTCTTGATCCTGACACTTCGACTGACAGATGGGTTAATTCCAGAGAACTCTCCACCATAGGACCCCGTCGGCTTTTTGACACTGCGAACCTGCCCACTGCGTCTCTTAAGAGCTTTCTTGTGCTTTTCCTGGATAAGGAGGTGGCAACGGAGAAAACAATCAAGTTACTAATCATTCTCGTGGGGAGGATCCAAACACTTACTTTAAAGTAATAGCCGTCCACCTTTCTTTTTCTCTCAAACATACTTGAACTCCGGAAAAAGGAGAAAAAGGAAACACAGACAGCTATCCTCGTGAAGAGTGATTGTTTTATGAAAAATTTCTTTATTCCAGAATATTCACACAAGCTGAAAGGTGATTTTCTCAGTGGTTTTATGTCCTATTCCTTTGGTTTTTAATGTAAGATCTAATTAACTAATTTGAGTAGATTAAGGATGTTGGTTAAATTAATTAATATGGTTTTTTTTTTTAAATACCCTGAGCATCTTCCCTAATTCCCTCCCTCCCTCTTTTACTTGATTATTGTTAGAAAAATATCAATAAGATTAATTTAGGAAAAAATTTAATAAACATGTTAAATAAGTCTCACATATATGACTAACATCAACTCTCCTATTAAATCCTACATTAATGACCCAAAGGAGAAATAAAGAGAAGCAAACAGGTACAAACGGAATCTCAAATATTTCTAGTTTGGTTTTGGCAGGGCATCAGAACTTCACTACTATCTTTGTCAATCCGGGTAAAATACTTCATTTCTCAGATGTTGAAGGTTGTGGGAGATCCCAGAAAATTTTAAGTTCTGCACTGTTTCAAAATTGTTGGAAGACATGCAAATAGATGGCGGCTGATACGAGTTTCTTTGGGTTTTATTATATTTCTCTTGTACCAAATTACCATTATTTTTGTTCATCTAAAGAAGCGACTCACACAAGATACAGTACTCTTTGGAGACCAGACAACAATAAAATTACCCAAATATCAAATCTTAAGTAAAATTACCTTGTACTTCTTTCTTGGATTCTTAGTCAGCTTCTTACGATATCGAGTCAACCCCCTGTTCTTCTCCATCTGCACCATTTTGGCATCGCAGGTGTAAAAGCCATTTTGGCATCGGAGGTGTAAAAACAAAGTCTATGAGGAGATTATAAATAGAATAATGATAAGATAAATGAGGCCACAACCTCGTAAGAAATCGGCCGTCTTCCATTTTTATCTAATGTATCTGGCCCTGGCAAATACGGGACTTCAGAGTTCCTGTACAAAAAGTGAATCATTAGACCCGTGGCAACCAAGGGGAAAAAATCATTTTGAATTATTTAACTTGCATATTTTTAATAAAACTCTAATCACTACAAAGGCCTAATTTTCAAGACAATTAAAGAAAAATTACATGAGGAGGCCCCAATTAGATAATTTTTATATCTTTAGGAAGGACGTGGAAGAGCCAAAGCACTTAATAATAATATGCTTATTTGCCCAACAGGACAACGTACGTAAAAAGCATACTTGCACATTAAAAAATGTGCATCATAATCACAAAATATGTAGTAGCTACCAACATAATGTCAAGAAATGGACAATCGATCCAAATTACCATCCTCCTCTGAGATGCTATTTAGGGACGTGATAGAATAATATGCTCTGAACAATTTGAGAAAGCAGAAGGGTACAAGACTTCACCTGGAGTAAATCTTAGCTTTAGCAGCCAATCTTTCAGCCCGCTGTTGCTTTATTTGTTCATACAAGTCATTTTCTGAGTCTTCACTTGTCTCATCCTCCTGATCAGAAAATCCAGGATCACCTATTTCTTCATCAACATCCTCAGATTTCAAACCAGCACCAGACATTGCCCTAAGTTCAAATTTCCTCCTCCTTTCCCCAATGTCATCTCTCTTAGGTAAATCATCATCACCAGAAACCACCTTATTCAAAAAGGGACCAGTCAGATATGTTATTCAAAATAAAACTTGAAATGTATCAAAAGGAGAAGTGAGCGAGGAGAATTAATGCAGGCTGATCGAAAAAACATCACGTGCTGTACCCTAACTTTCTTCTGATGAGCAAGCTGAGCAATTCTACCAGAACCAAGACCATTAACCAATGTAGCTACTCTATCGGCATTCACATTGTCATCATCAAAATCATCACAAGTGTCGAGCCTGCAATATTAGTAAGTTTCCATTAAGTCCTCATTCCCAAACCCAGAAATAAGAATGCAATGAACAGGGCCACAGGGGCAAAGTTATACCCATTTAATGATCTGGAACGTTTTCGGGCACTAGTAGTCTTTGGAGCAATGGAACTGTGGAAACCCTTCTGTTTCAACTTTTCCTCAAGGGATGCTCTGATCTTTAACATTTCAGAACTCTGCACACCAATGCGATCCTTCTGCCACATTCAACATATCTCAGTCAAAATAATAGGCCTTTTACAGCAATAAAACTAATTCGAAATCATGAAACATGCCAAAGTATGTTATGTTAGTGATTTCAAAATCAAACGGAAGATACAAAATATCAGCATGCAAAATTGTTTATAATTCACCTTAAGCTCATGTCTCTGTTTTCTTTCTTCATTCACATTATCCTTAGAGGAATCCACATTTTGCATCTCGACTACCTCGAGAGACTGCATAAGTAGACCAAGATGTAAGGGTTGTATGGAAGATTATTCTTCAAAGACAAAAAAGAACCACAAACAAAAATAATTACCACTGTTTCTTTTAGTGATACATCAGAGGCATGAGGCAGGTCATGGTTTTCCACAAAGGAATCAGCCATTGAAGCATTTATATCACCCGAATTTAATACCATTTTCAACCCATGATTTTCTTCAACAACATCATCAACTTTGACCGGAAGTTTTGCATCCAGTTTTTGCACCTGTTAAGTAAGTCACACATTAGAAGCTTCAAAATCTAAAGAAAACCATTTCCATCTTAAAACTGCAAGGAAGAGAACAAAGAGTATTGTATCCATTTTTTTGGCCCCAAAAAAATGGGGGAAGAAGTGGTCATTAGCATATAATGGATTCTTTCCAGGTGAGAATCTTCTACCCTCACCCTTACTATGACATATTTAATGATAAATTAGCATTGGTGCAAGATTTGACAGCCTTAAGCCAATAATATTGATGTTCATTCCAACAGTCAGATTAGAAGTCGTAACCATGTGATCTTCACAACCATATTCTATAATAATCAGATAAGTACGCAATTAAACAATAAATAGTTTCCTATCAATGTGCATCCCACACTAGATTTTAAAATGCATGAATAGGCCATCAAATGACTCCCGAGTAATGTCAAACATTTTGAGGAAAATGCTAATGCTAAAGAACTTTTACTCCAATAGCGGATTTTGATTGAAATTCATCCTACACTGAGTTAGGGTTCATCTGGCACACAAAATGGACAGAACTAAAAAAAAGAAAATGGAATGAAAAAAGTAATGTTGCGGATGAGAAATATCTTTCGTCCCATGGAAAAGGGATATAATAGATATTGAATATCTTCATTTTAGTGCCGTGGAAAAGGAATCATTTTCCATCAAGTATATAAATAAATTAAAAACAAAAAGCATTTCTTGTCATGGATGCTAATTGATCCCTTCTACAGGTGTAATAGGGAGCATATCATGAGAGAAAAGTGGTCTCATATGAGAAGGGTAACTATCCTCGACTAGATCAAAAATTAATGGTCAAGATTGAAGAATGCCATAAATGCATATTAATATCTATTTTCACATTATTGATTTTTTTTTTTTTTTGGGGTTGCACTTCACCATTGATGTGCAACCAGGTGATCAAATGATAGCTTATTACCCTTCACACTTAAGATTCTACACATGCATGCAGGAATGAATGAACACTGCAAGTCATTCCTTGGATCAACGTGGTAACTGTTCACTGACAATCCAAGAAGGAAGCATTTGTACTCGCCAGCTACGTATGATTTAGAGCCAACACATTAGTCTTACATTACCCATACCAATTTCTCTAATTTAGTAAATTTAAAAACATTATTAATTTCTATCTAAAAGTTCGGACATATGAAAACATATGCACCAAGTATGTGAAAAGGCATCCATAATTCTGTAGATCCGAATGGAAAAGCTTCAACTCCAAGAAGCAACATTTGAATATGTTAATTCTGCATGCTAAATTTATTATGATAAAAAGATTGACAACTTGAAGAGAACAATACCCGATCCAATAATTTCTTTATCTCTTCTAGGCGAGCCATAACAGGATGGTCATGCACTGGCTTTCCTTCAGATTTGAGGAGAAGATAGAAAGTTATAGCTTGGCAGTAGAGTAACAGCAGAGCTTTCTTCAACTCAAAATAACCAACTCCTTCCGTAGCAATTTTGCCATCTTTAACCTTCACAAAGTAATGAAACAATTCAAACGCACGATGGCTTTCATGCGTGTCCAAGAAAGTAGTCTCTAAAGAGACGTAGATTGCATTTTTTTTAATAGGGGCCCAATAAATGGGAAGGAAACTTGGGCAATCAAAACAAGGCCCTGTATAAGTAGAATAATTTCAGGCAACATCTTTGTTGTCTGTGGCAAAAAAACAACATATCACAACAAAAGGAGACAAAAACCTTGCTTAACAATGGGTTTATTTTGCATTCAAGCTGATCATGTGCGTCATTTAGTTCTGACAACCAAAAGACTAATTCTGGATAAGACCTGAAACGAGAATATAGCTATTAATCACTGAGAGTCATTAAAAAGAATATTATACAAGAAATAATCAACACAAAATTGTATATTCAAAACAATTAGCTACAGTCCATAACAATGAAAACAATAAAATCAATGGCCATGTGTATTGTGTTAAATGCTAGGCCAAACAGTCCAATAAACAGGGCTGACAGCTTTTTTTTTCTTTTTTTTTTTTAAATCAGTTTTCTTTCGAATATTGTTAACTTTGGTCTATCAAAATGGAAGCATCAAAAACTTACTTCTAGACAGGATAGTAATAGTTCCACTCTACTGGTGAATACATTATTAGAAATACCTTTAGCATCAAGCTTCATTATAGTAATTCCTTTTGCAAAAGAAATAGAACAAGTGTCCACTTATACAATGAAAGGAACTCATACTAACTAATGGTAAGAAAACATGGATACAAATTTTTTTCCATTCATATGCAATTTGACTAAGCAATGGCAGTGACAACATGACATAAAGAATTACATTAAATTAGATCTACAGCTGGTTTAAACTATATTTGACCAACCAAACTGTAAAATCATCAAGGCAATGATGGATTTTATTTTAATCATTTATGTTGGTCGCTAAGTTTCTCAATAAGAACATTAGTATCTACGACTTCTTTTCTAAACTTACACCTTACTAAGATAAAGACAAGCAAAATTTCTTTAAACTCTTCTTTCTCATTTTTGAAAGCACATAAATTATCATTTATATTTTGGGTTGAAAATGCAAACCCCCAACAAGAAGTTTGTTTTCCCAAGTACGCTTACAATTATCAATTGCATTGATCAATGCACATATTTTAATTATTTAAATTTTGATAATGCAGGTACAATAGGGATAGCAGCTGAAGCCATAAGATAAATCCGAAATATAATACTGTAAGATACAGATATAAAATTAACCTATTCAATGTCTCCATTTGTTCATCTTTTGATAAAGCATTCAAATCTTCAACCTTGTAAGTTTTATCTGTATCCTCAAGCATCAGGGATTCCGTTGAGTCCCTTCCTTTAAAAGATGATTCCTGTACCATCATAAGTTATATCTCATAAAAATGGAGGGTTGACTGCATTAAACAACACAGTAACAAGATATCAGCAATATTACCTTCAAACCCACGAGATCATAGTCTTCCTCAGTATAAAATTTTGCCCTCTCTCTCTGCAACTGGTTTGCCAACTCTTCCTCTTCTTTTAGGGCCTCATCATCACTTGATTGAAGCTTTATCAAAACATAATTGCATACTTATTCAACGAAAATTATTAAAAAGGTTCCAAATGGCAAAAATTCTTTTATTAAAGGTAAGGTGCAAAAAATGGGCTATAAATTGCTCGAACCCTCACCTCAAAATGACGATTATCAGCTCCATGTCGGGAATGCTTTCCAACTAGTATGGGTTCATCATCATCCTCCTCTTCATTATCATCATCATGCATTTCATCCTCACCACCAAATTTTGCACGTAAATATTTCCTTTGCCTGATTACTGAAAATAATACATAAACAGTTTAGCCCAATTACACCTCTCACACATAAATTTCACTTCGAAACCTTGAAAAAAGTTTCCCATAGATCCTGGCATCCTCTGACTTGCAAATCTAAACTGCTCTAGTTTCCATTACATAAACTATCCTTAGATAAATCATGACGTTAGCTCATGGAAAAATTATATCACTTTATGGCTATACAAGACTGTGAGATCTCAAATTAAAAAGCAAAAAAGGACAAAGTATCCCATATCTTTGGGAAGGAAATAAAACAAATTCAAACTCAAGTGCATGGGATAGAAAAGATGTATACTCAGTTCCCCTTGAAGTGCCTTTCAATATTCATTATTGTAACAAATATCTAGAAACAAATCCTTACTTTTCCTAGTCATGTCGTCATTAACATCATCACTGAAGTCGTCGTCATCAAATTCATCCTCATCATCATCAGAACCCTGTGAGTGACATGAAAGAAATAAATGAGATGATAATACAAAATTGAAAGATGCAGTTTACTTTCTGGTTCTAATTCTTAAGCAAAGCAACCAATTAAGCATCACTAGGTCTGATCTATCTCGCTTCATTGAACAAACAGAAGCTTATCATCATTCAAAAAGGCATTAGTTGAGAAGCTTGCACTGAAAAAGACACAGGGCATGAAATGGACATGACAACAAAGGTAAATCTAGGAATATGGTTGGTTTCACATTGAAAACCACCGACACCATGGTTTTAGTGGAAGCACGTAACCAAACCATGGTTTTTAGTGGCTTTCAAAGCGAAACCATACATGCACAGTGCAATAGGTATGAAGTTTAAAGAGTTGCCTCTGTATTCAAAGGGGACGTTGCTTGTGCTTTTAACTATCAGAGCCTATGGTTGTCACCGGCTAATAAAATCTAAAGGAGCAAAATACTCTTGTTTGCTTATGCAAACTCATCATTGAAAAGAAGAAACAAGATCTAATATTTCATTCCAACTTGAAATTTCACTAAACTAATTCCATCTAGTATTCAAAATTCCCTAAAATAGTTCCATCTAGAAATCAACACAAAGCTCTAACTGATATGAACCAGAAGAAGGGAATCAATACCTTCAAATCAAAAACGGGCACTTCTTCATCCTCGTCTGACTCTCCAACATCGCCATGTATGTCAAGAGGGATAATATCGCTCTGCTTATGAACTGTAAAAGGAAAAAAGTCCAAGTAAGACAAGGACAATGCAAATTCATCATGAACTGAAAAAGAACAATATAAATCCATACAAATAGCGGCAGTAACACATGAGAAAATAAATCACTCAAGAAGGAAGAATGAAAATACAGGCATCAATTTCGTCGTGCATGTCATCGTTAAGTGCATCATCATATTGGGAACTTGTCTTGCCGTTCCTCTTCTCATTTTTCTGGCGGCTTCTTCCTTTCTTTCCCATACCTAATCACTAAATTAAATCTAATATATCACCTGTGAATACGCAAAACAGCACAAACAAATTCAAAAATCTTGAACGCTGCATCATAACAATAGGAAGGCACCAAACAGAGCCCACACAATCTTACTAAGGATGAAGCTGAAGTCGACAGAGTCCGAAGACGGTGTCGGCGGCGGCTGGAGGCAGCTCCACAGTTGACAGTGGTGCCGTTAAGGCTTGAGAGTTCAAGACCGCAGTGGAGGCTGTATGCTGCTGAATTCGACGGAGAACGGAAGCTCAGCTCAGGGTTAGGCTTACGCCTTTGCAAACATGCTAATCAAAATAAATAAATAAATTGAGTGGTAAATTTAAAATGATGACTTCGATAAATATGAGAATCGATAAATCTATAAACTATACAAAGGTAAAATTAGATTATTCAATATCATGTATTTACGAAAAAATTGTCGAAAAATCCCTATTAAAAATTTATTACTTAAAAAATACTTGGGACCTATGTTTAGTTCGTACATGGTTGAGAATAAATTGTACACCACTAAAGAAAAATTGCATCAGTTAAAAATAGATTACAGTTAGGTATTCAAACAACTTTCAGTTACTTTTAAACAATAAATCTTATAATGAGAAATCTTTCAACTTGTTTCCCTTTATTCAATTGATTTCTTAATCTTTTAATAGGTTGATACTTGTTTATATTGCTATGTGATATTAATGTTACAAGTATTATCAAATGTAATTTTATACTAGTTACCTAAAAGCATTTTCTACAAAATTACACCGGACACAATTTTTTTTCCTGGATTGATTAATATTAATAATGTCATAAAGAGCAAAAATGGTAATATAATTTTTGATAAAATAAGTAGTCAGGGCCAAAAAAAAAATTTCTGGTCATGGCCGGTGTTTTGTAATGGTTAGCACTTGTAGGTGCACAAAGACGCAAATTAGTTAATGCCTTTGTTGAATGAATAAATTTTTAAATGTGTTCCGACGGAACGAGAAAAAATTGTTCATTATTATGTGCGCGTGCCCCCCACGGTTTTTTGGGGCCAATTAACAAAATTGTCCACAAAGACTGAGGGTCGTGAGAGGTCCTAAGAAAACATAGATTTACTGCCACAAGCATGAACTTGGATGAAAACATCACCTACTTAGATGAAAGTCATTTGATAAATCGAATACAAAAATAATTCAAGCATTATGCATACATTATCTATATTGCTAGCTAATCATTCAACAATATTTCTCACTTGCAAATGCAAAGAACAAACTGCAATGGGATTTCTTTTTGTTGCCAAAAAAAAAATTTGGTGAATTAGGTCTCAAAGGCTTATTAGAGTTAGGATATGCCTTCAAATTTAAAAAACGCTTATAAAAGTACTTATAAATCACCCGCTAATAAGATTCTCATATTAGGAGCGAGATTCAAACTCATGACTACATGAGTGATGAGCCGACTCCTTATTAACTGGACCAACTCTTGTTTGAACAAACAAAAAGTATCCACATGGAAATAGATGATATTTTCCCCCCCCCCGTCATTCATCCAAGGCTATTATGTTGGGCCAATAGTAGATCCGTTTGGATCAGCGATTGGAAAAGCTGTTTAGTGAAAAAGTAGCTTATGGATAAGTGAAGTTGGGTAAAAGCTAAATTGGATAAGCTGAATTGTATTTGGATTGGAGTTCAGAAAAGCTAGCTTACAAAAGTGAGATTGGTAAAAGATTGTTTGGATTATGGTTGAGTAAAAGTAAGTTTGATTGTAAAATGACCAAAATAGGTATGAGTTTTAATAAATATTGAAAAATGATTAAAAAATAGATCTCACATAATACAATGAAATTAAAATAATTTAATATGAAGAAGTCAAATTTAATAGGTGAATTAAATTTTAAAATTTTAGAGAAATCATAAAAAATATTTAAATATAAAGTGAAAGATGAAAAACCATGAATCGAGATAATATAATGAAGAAGTGAAATTTAATGAGTGAATAAAAATTAAAAATTTAGAGAAATCATAAGAAATATTTAAAATATAAAGTAAAACATGATTAAAAAATGAATTGACATAATACAATGAATTTAAATTAATTTAATATGAAGAAATGAAATTGATTGAGTGAATTAAATTTGAAAGCATCAAAGAAATAAATAAAAAAAATACTACAACTATAAAGCTAAACATAATTTGAAAAAAGATATACAAAATAAGCATTTCAGTCAGCTTTTTGGTCTTTGACAGTGCCATTAGCCGATTACTCGTGTAATGAACAAGAAACCGAAAACGAGCCAGAGAAAAATAACCCCCTGACACATCCCAATGTAAATAACCTCTTAAAGTGATCCAATAAGCCAGAAAGTCCAACCAAACAAGCTGAAATATTACAATCGGGCTTGTAGCAAAAATAAGCTACTTTTTAACCCATAAAAATCCTGTCGAGCGGACCCAGTAACGGGCCAAGAAACTAAGGAGGCTCAAGTTATTAGAAGGTAAGAAGTGACTTCTGGAAGTGACTGCATCATGCTATGAAGAAATCATGTGCAATAGTTTTTTTTTTCTGCCTTTTTTAATTTTTGGCTTCTCTGCTCCTCTTTTCCTCTGACTTCTTTTCTCTTCTCTCTAATAAGTTGATCTTCATCTTCCTTGGTATTTTCTCTTCTTACGTATTTAGAATGATTTTTAAATTTTAGCCAATTATGCGTACGTACATACGTACTTGTAATCTTTATCGTGTTTTTTCCATAAATGATTATAAGGAAGATTTTATTAGCACAAGGTAATCATGGCATTTTCTTACTTATGTATGCTTCAGTCATGTGGAATTTGATCCCACCACCTTTTGACAAACATCAGTTAATACCTTAGTTCTAAAAATTCAATCTTATTTTAGTTTTGATTCCTCAAATTTGATATCAATAAATTAGTATTTTTGCTCTCTGAAATTTCAGTTCATTTTAATCCATCTAAATAATTTTTATCCCTGGAACCATTTTTTTTATTCCTAAGACCTTTTTTTTCACCAAAACCTCTGACTTTAAATTTTAAAAACCAAAACCAAAATCAAAATGAAATCAAATTTTAGGGATTAATATCTAGAAACACTTTTAACTATTGAACCACCAAAACTTATTAGTAAAATATTGCAAAATAATACTACCTTCAGTCCTTAATATAAGAACTTGTTTGACTTTTATTTTGATCCTAATTATAAGATCCCAATCCATTTTATCTTTTATATTTATTTATTTTTTTCAAGGTAGTTCTTGTAATAGTAGTAGTTCTAGCTAATACATTTGATTAGCAAGAATACTTTAGGAAAGTTAACACCTACTTATTATAAATAACTAATTTAACTAGTTGTCTTGATCTGCTCAAATTAATCAACTAGCTCTTATATTAAGGATCAGAAATACTATATAAGTTTAAGAAATTTATGGAGTAAATAAACAAAAACAATTCGTTTTGTACTGATTACAGTGCAAATGCTGCTAACGATGCCCTTTTTTTTAGTCGGACTCCCCCGATATCCTAGGCCAATGCCATCTTTTAGGCGTTTCAACGGGCCCAGACTAATCCGGAGCGACACCTGTTAAGGATCCCCTAACGGATGGCTTGCCTACCACTCCACACTGCTGCATGCCCAAGGCTCGAACTCGAGACCCTTGGTTAAGCTAGAACGACCCCACAGCTAGTCGATCTAAGCGTTCGGTTGTTTGCTAACAATGCCCTTTAACACATCAACAAGTTCTCCCTTATGTCACGAAATTAAACATTCACTAAGTTGAAATGAGCAACAGCAACACTTTTAGCATTAAGGGCTATTAAATAATACTCCTCCGGTCTTTAATATAGAACCCAATTGTTGAGTTGGTTTTGGTCCTAAATATAAGACTCATTTCTCATATTTATCAATTTTCTCTAAATTACCCCTATGGATACTCCCTCAACCATAATCAAATAGAAGAGGAAGAATGAGTATTAAGAAAAATGATTATGGTATTTTAGGAAAAACGTATCATATTTTTTGTAATCAATTAACTTACCTAACTTCCTTAATCTAATCAAATTAGTTAAATGAGTCTTATATTAAGGAACAGAGGAGTAACAGATAAGGCATTAACAACTTCTCCTGATTAAAGTGAATAACTATTTCGATATTCACTACAACATTTTACCTATCCAAATGATGATGAGGCATTAACAACTCCTTATTTGAAGTTAATAACAACTCTTTCATCATTCACCACAACGCATAGATTTTCACAGTAAAAATTAAGGCATTAAACAGTTCTCACTTTTGCTACCAAATTAAGTATTCCCAAAGTTGAAGTGAATAACAACAACTCTTAATATTAATTACATGCAACACAAGGACTATTGACAATAATACATAATGCATTAACAAATTCTCACTTCCATCGCAAAATTAAAAGAGTTGTTAATACCTCATCTGATATTGTGAATAATGAGTGTTGTAGTGAATACTAAAAGAATTGTTATCATTCACTTCACATAATATGTAATGGCTAATTAGTTAATGGTTAATGTGTTGTAATCAGTGCCTTATGTTGGACCTTTATTTCTTAAACTTGTTGGTTAAATGGCTAATTTGTTGTTGGTACGGTCAAAGATTGTTGGTTACCTTATAATATTAAGAGTTAATTGATTAATTTGAGTAAATTGAGAAAATTAGTTAAGTTATTTATTTGTAATAAATAAATGTTGTCTTTTTTAAAATATCATTACTAATCAAGTACATTAGCTACAATGTTTCAGTAGTGATCAATCGAACAGCTGCACATGGTGGATTAGTTAGAGATGCGAGAGGAATGGCTCACTGGATTCAAGCAACAACTTAGAGTGCTCCCTGTAACCATTGTAGTGATTTTGGCAATTAAAGCTTAGACTGGAGGTTTGCAAAGGACAACAGTTTTAGGACTTGTTGGTGTATTCTTTTTTTTTTTTTTTTTAAGTACAAACCCAAAGTAAAAGTTACCTCAAGTGGGGATTAAATCCCATGTTCTCTTTCTCTACAAGTGCCCTTAGTGCATCTGGGCAACCATCATAATAAGAGGATTTAGAAATCCCCAATTTAGCAAGCGCATCCGTAACTCTGTTACCACATCTAGCTATGTAACGTAGTTCAACTTTCCAGTGGAAATTCAGCATTTCTTGAATCTGCATGATCATAAGATTTGCAATGTTCCTTGTTTCCTTCTTGGAGAGAATTTCAATCAGGCCCTTGGAATCAGATTCAAGTATGACATTTTTAAAACCAAAG